ACGGGAAAACCCCCCACAAGAAAGAGAGCACCCCCGGCAAAAAAAAACAACCGCGACAACAGAACAAAGACGGCACCCGACCCCGACCCCGGCGGCGGGGAGGGGGACGGCGGCGTGCACCGCTCGAGGACGAGGAAGCGCGCCCGCTTGCTCGCGGGCGGCGGAGCACTCACGCCTCCTGCACTCACGCCTCCTCCGCCGTCTCGTCCTCCGCCGTCGGGGTCGGGGTCGGCTGCCGACCTCGGTCCCTTGGCGCCGGTCTGCGAGACACAGCGGAAGGAGGAGGCGGCCGGCGGCGCGCCGCTCGAGGAGGTGTGGTACTGCGCGAGCACGTCGCATAGGTGCACCGCCTTCCGCTTCCGCATGTGTCCCACGCCGCCGCCCGCACCGCCGCCGCCTTTGGCAACAGCGCCAGCGGCGCCGCCGCCCGCGCCGCCGCCGCCGCCGCCGTTGCCGATGGCGCCGCCGTTCGGGACGTGCCCCTCCTCGCCCCGGGCTGTGGCCGTCAGCTCGCCGCTTGCCTGGTGGCCGTTTGCCGGAGACGCCTCCTCAGTGTCCATGTCCATCGGCGAGGCGGCGTCGAGCGAGGCGCGCGGCGCGCCACCGCCTACAGCACCGCCACGCGGCTCGCGTCGGGCGCGCTCTCGGCAGCGGAGGGAGGGGAGGCGGAGAGCGATGCCGACGGCGCTGGAGCTGGCGGCGGTGGCCGGCGTGGCGGCGGCCGGCGTTGCGTGAGGCTGTGGGGAGAAGAGCCGCGCGTGCAGAGCGGCGGAGGCGGGGTCCGGTGACGGGTAGACGGGCTGAGGGAAGGCCTCCCCGCTGCTCGCCGCCGGGAGCGGCTCCTGGCGCAGCGGGGAGAGGGAGCGGGCGGTGAGGTGATGAGGCACACAGCAGCCTGCGCCGGAGCCAAAAGCATCGCTCTCCTGAGCCGCGTGCCGCGGCGGAGGCGGCAGCGGTAGCGACGGCGCGCCGGGCAGCAGGGCGCCGCTCGTCGAAGCCGATGACTGCGCGGCCGCTCCAGACGCGGGCGGGAGCGGGAAGGGTGTCGTCGGCGAGAAGAGGACGCCATTGGCGCTCGGCGGCCGTGAGCCCAGCCACGGCGTGTGGCCGGCATGCCGAGTCGAGGCGCCGAGGCCCGCTGCCGGCGTGCGCAGCTCCTGCACGCCCGCGGCCGCAGGATCCTCAGTTGCGCAACTCGCACTCTCACGCAGTGCAGGTGCTGGCGTGGTGGCCGGCGGCGCCCGCCGGACGACGGTGCAGCGGCGAGCGTGCTGCTTCAGTCGCTCCCGCCGCTCAGCCGCGAATCGGACGGCGCAGGCGATCGCCACGCAGAAGAAAGCGAGCATTACGGAGTAGAACATCGGGGGCCCCGGGCAGCAGAGGGCAGCGCGAGCAGCGCGCGCGCAAAATTATTCTTTTTTTCGTACTTAGCACAAGAGAAAAGAACCTAATTTTCCGACAAAACTCCCTCGCACGACACTAGGCACGGGACTGGCGCGCACTGGCACTAACACAGGTACACCACGCAAAAAGAACATAACGTGATCGAGTTCGATGTTGCATTAAATCGAAAAGAAGATAATCGATAGAGCTCTCACAACTAGAATCTAAATGAGAGCGACATCGGTGTCGCTCCCCGCAATTCTGTGTGAACCAGCGCATAGCGCCAGAAGACGTATTTTCTTCTCATAACAAGGCTGTGAAAGCTCATACAAAGGCCAAGTTCTTGGTTACCAAGCCTTGGAGCACTTACCAAGTTGTTTTCTTTCTTTCTGAACTTTCCGGGACGAAGGTACAGCTGCCCTGGGTCGTCGACTACTTTGTCTTTGAGCGCGAGGTGTGGATGGCGGAGGAGGTGTAGGGGGGGGGGGGGGGGGGGGGGGGGGGCCCCCAAAATGGGACTTTGGGACCCAAAACCAAAAAAAAAAAAAGGGGGGAAGGGGGGACGGCCCCCCCCCCCCCCCCGGGGGAAACCAAAAACAGGCCTTAGGGGGTGAAAACCCTTTTTTTTTTCCCCAAAAAATCAGGGCCCCCCCCAAAATTTTTTTGGGGCCTTCTTAAAAAAACCCCCCCCCCCTTTTCCCCCGGGGAAACCTTCACCCCCCCAAAAGTCCCCGGGTCCCCCCCTCTTTTTAAAAACCCCCCCCCCCCGAGGGATGGGGGCCCCCCCAAACCCCTTTTTCCCAAAAAAAAAACCCCATCCCCCGGGGGAGGGGGGGACCCCCCCCCTTAAATTTTTTTCGGGCCCCGAGTCTTTTTGGAAACCTCCTGATCCCCCCCCCAAAAAAAAGGGGCCCCCATACCCCCCACCCGGCAAAAAAAAAAATTGGCCCCCCGCCCCCAAATGGGCCCTTTTCCCCCCGGGTGTTTTCCCCCGGGGGGTTTGGGTTTGTTCGGGGGCCCCTCCTCCCCCCCCCCACCGGGCCTGGTGGACCCGTAATCCCCAGGATTTTAGCGGGGGGAAAACTGATCCCCTTTTAACCCCCGG